TTTTCCTGTATTTAAAACATACTGTGAAGGTAGTTAAGGTATTTCTGTTGTGTGTTCAAATGTGATTTTTTTGTAAATTTTTCCTGGTACGTACATAACAAACAACACTGTTTTGACTAGCCAAAAATGTGCTTCTGAATGTATATTCCAGACAACATGAGGTACAGATGCAGCTTGCTAATCAAGCTAGCTAGTTGAGGCTAGAATTAGCAGCTGAAAAGTACCTCTTCACAGTAACTAAGTCCACACTTCTTGTATACAGTCTATGAATTGACTTCACTTAAAAGAGTTCACTGACTTTATGGCCCTTGTATTCATGTGCCAGTCACATCAATTTTAATGTTAACTTTTCATATAATTTGTGTTCTATATTTTTCAAAAGGAACTTTTCTTTATCATGCGAACTTTGTGTTTTCAAAGACTTCATTTTACTCTTGTTTCTTGCGTACCGTCTTTTTATGGAAAACTAAAGCATACAACAGTGTGATTGCTAGCACAGTTTAAACAAATGTATATGATTTCCTTTATGATTTAAATGAATAGCCGCACAAAGTATTCTGCAGTGACTGATATGTTTTAATGGCTATGATGATTTGACAGGCTATTTGAACAGCTAATAGCTTTTTTTAAAGGTCTCCTGCTAGATCCGACTCTTTTTATATCCAAAAGTAAAAGAGAAGCATCTGAAAGTAGTTTCTCCTCAAAGCACTCATCTTCATCAGGGTTACACCAGCTATTACTGCACACCTACCAGAACCATTTATTTAGATAATATCCTCACTGAGCACCAAAATTGGCTTGTAATTAAAAGAGGCAGGGGATTCTGGAGTAAAAAAAGGAAAAGAAGCCGAGTGAGTTATGAAGGGCCTTCCTGTGGTTTAAAAATCAAACAGCACCTGGATGCTGCTCGCTTCGGTATGGAAGAGAAAGAGATAGGAGTGTGCAGGCAGACACACAAACATGCAGAGTTGACAGATACAGACACTTTCACACACAACGCCTCCGCAGAGCTGGCACATCGGGTGAGGTAACGTTCCCTCCTTTCTGCCTTCCAAGCACACTTCCTCTGCCTGGAATAATTGCTGCCTGGCTGCTCGTCTGGGAATGGGAGCCACTCTGTTCATTAGTTGCTCTAAATACCAGACACGGCATCACTTTTAAAGGCTTAATTTCACTGCAGTCCCAGCCCCTCTCTCTGATCCTCACCCGTCGAGAGCCACAGAGTACGCTCCCGTTCTAAATGACCTAAATAGATAAGCAGTAAATGAACGGGGGCCTTTTCTTTTGGAAACCGGGGGGAGAAATTAGCGGCCAGAGATGAGAGCAGAGCGCTGGAGGTGGGAGGGAGCCAAAGTGACAGTGATGGCGATGCAGAAAGCAGTATCCATTTTCTTACAAAAGAGGCAAAACAAGACGTCTGTTTCCATGGAGACCAGCAAACAGTCATATTTCTTAAGGGACCACTGGGCTTCCTGCGGCGCTTAGTGATTGGCTCATTCAGATGCTGCAGACACAGGACCCGAGGGAGAAGGCTTACACTACTGCTGTTAGAGCGGTGAGGACAGGATGTGTTCCGCTGGACGGACCAGACCTGAACACACTTCAGACACAAACTACATGATGCCTCTGACCTGCAGATCCTTCCTATTGCTAATGTGACACTAGCTGAGAGGGATAAGTATGGAAAATGAGAGGTGACGTAATGTACATCTGGCCGTACATCAGAGCAGGAATAAACCTAAAGAGCAGCATGTAACGACATCATTATAAATCAATCTGTTTATTATATTCTAAATTGTTTAGTCTAGAAAATAGTCCAAAAAAAACATCCTAGTGTCTCAAAGTTCAAGCTGATTTTTTGTATTACGATTTTTTTCTTAAACCCAAAGTTTTTAACTTCAATAGGACAGAAAACATGGAAAGCATTATATTTGAGAGGCTAAAAGCTGCATTTTCTGCCATTTACTCATTTATTCCACACATTACTCCGTATCTTTTGTACTGTATTTATTTTACTGTACAGTATTTCATATTTTTTTATTTCATATTTTTTTATTTGAAATAAAACTTACTGGCACCATTATGTCACTTGCACTATTGTATTTCTTTATTTCCCAGTTTGTCTTAAATATAGTATGTGGCACTGTTGGAGGAGGTTGGGACTGTAGATTTGCATTAAATACAATTAAACTATACTGTAGCTGTTATAATAAAAACAAATAAAGCCTTTGAATCTTTGAACCTTTTTGAATCAATTATTCAAATAGTTGTAGATATTCTTCTGTCCATAGACTTATCCTTGCAGCTCTACCCCAAAACAACACTAAAGTGAATGTCGTCATCACTTCTTAAACCATGCACTTCGAGGTGGACAGAAACACATCTGGCTACATGTGCAAATGCAATGCATCTCCATCATCATGTAAACTACAATCATGAATCAAACCAAACTTGGTGTCTGCAGCTTGGATACTAAATAAGCGCCATGCATTAGCAGAGACAGTTGTTCTAATAGCCCATTTCACACGTGCACTTTGTTCTGTAAACGCTCCAGCAATTTACACGTCAGCTTCATGATTGATAATGACCAAGCAGTGTTTCCATAAATGCTGCGCTGCTTCTTACATCAATGTGAGTCAAAAAGCAGTCAATTATAAATGAAGCACACACATGGTCAGTCTTTTTGGACATGGTATATATGAAAATACATACAGTATATAACTGCATGTTTTGTGCTGCCTTCTTATGCCTTCTCTTGACCTGACAATCAACATCGGCACCTCAGTTGTTTCCCCGACTCAGACTGCAAGGAATCTGGGTGTGACCCTAGATAACAACCTGTCCTTCACTGCAAACATCGCTGCTACAACCCGCTGCTGCAGATACACGCTTTACAACATCAGGAAGATACGTCCCCAGCTGACTCAGAAAGCGACTCAGGTTCTGGTCCAGGCTCTCGTCATCTCACGCCTAGACTACTGCAACTCCCTCCTGGCTGGTCTACCTGCATGTGCCATCCGACCTCTGCAGCTCATCCAGAATGCAGCGGCTCGTCTGGTCTTCAACCTTCCTAAATTCTCTCACACCACTCCGCTCCTCCGCTCCCTTCACTGGCTTCCGGTAACTGCTAGAATCCACTTCAAGACACTGGTACTTGCTTACCGTGCTGCGAATGGATCTGGCCCTTCCTACATCCAGGACATGGTTAAACCGTACACCCCAGCGCGTGCACTACGCTCTGCATCAGCCAAACGACTCGTTGCGCCCTCGCTGCGAGGGGGACCCAAGTTCCCATCGGCGAAAACACGTGGGTTTGCTATCCTGGCTCCAAGATGGTGGAATGAGCTCCCCATTGACATCAGGACGGCAGATAGCTTGCACATCTTCCGGCGCAAACTGAAAACTCATCTCTTTCGACTCCACTTCGAGCGTTAGAACTATTAACGAAGCACTTATATACTAATAAAGGACTGGCTTACCTAAAGCCAGTTGAGTAGCACTTGAAATGTTTGGCTCTATGAAACCTGATATACTTATATGATTCTGTTTTCTTCAAGGTTGTGTCTTCCTGGTCGAATGTACTTATTGTAAGTCGCTTTGGACAAAAGCGTCAGCTAAATGCAATGTAATGTAATATAATAATGTAATTATGACAGAAATACATTTATAAAATGCTATTAAACAATACAAGTCAATTAAATTCGTTATTAAAGCAATGCTGTGAATGGCCCAAATGAAGGATGTAGAATGTACGCGATGTTAATAGAGGTTATTATTGCAGTGAAATCTCGGGGAAAGAGAAGAACAAGGTTTTTTGGATAGCTTTCTAAATGCAATTTAACAAAAGTGTAAAAGTGTTCAGGATAATTGTTTTATTTTTAGCTGCTTTGACTAATCAAACTACATAACGATTTCTACAATATAGCCAGAGTTGAGTTCCAAACCAAGAGCCCAAACTACAAAAATATCAACATTTGGATTAGGGGTAATTGAAAGTCTTTTAAAACCTATACATTTTGCTGTTCAACTTGATCGGGTGACTCTTCCATCCCTGCTGCTTTTGCATGAAGGCTCATAATGTCAACTAAACCTCAGTAAACCTCCCTCGCATGCAATCTTGATGTCTCCTTTCACTGTTTTGTAGGCACAATGGAGAAAACATGCATGTTCTCTGGGTTAACAAATAAATACTTTCACAGTCTCACTAGAAGGGCCTCCACCGCTACTTCAGTGAAGTACAGGAAGAAAATGTGTTGTGAAGTAAAACGTATGTCCTTGATTTTGACTATATGTGAAAGACAGTACGCACACATCACTTCTTGTCCTGCCCTTGGAAATACAAGGCGAGTTCTATGTTCTGACCTATCCTTGAAGGCTATTGGCACACTATGTCTTTCTGCCTCTCGTGAATGATCTCATGACTACAGAAGCCCTGAGAGGCAAACGAGAAAACCTGATGATCAAAGCCTGATCCTTATGGTATTTTTAAGCTGTGTTTTAAAGCTGGGGGAAAATGTTAATAATCATAAAGATAATTGTTCTTATTTAAATCTACTTTAAAAACTGTTTTGGCAGGTGAGGTTTTCTTTTTTCATGAACAATCAATAAGTGTTTGTTGTTGTAATACCCATTTCTGCCACAAGAGGCTGAAGTGCACCACTACCCCATATTCAAATAAGATAAAAGGCACATGTTAGTCAGCAAATGATGTAACGTGGCTTAATTTAGAATCACCTTTAAGAACACATACATATTATATCAGCATCTTGTGGCCAAAATGAGTATAACAACAAACAAACACACTTTTTAACCCTTGTTTAATTTTAAGAACTTAAAATAAAAAAAAATATAAGGCTGGCAAATCCTTTTTTACAAATGGTCTTGCAAATGGCTCACAGGAAATTATACTTTCCAGACTCAAACCACTAATAGCATGGCAATAATTGTGTTAATGTACTTTGTTCTGAGTGTGTGAGATTGTGCATTAGAGGTCAACATACCGTCACTTTCTCTAAATCAGCTTCTGAGGAGGTGGGAGACAGGGGGCTGATGGGACTGAGGGAGGGGGAGCTTCCGACACTGGAGACGTACTCGGGATCAGGAACGTACAGAACCTGCAAACACAATCCATGTCTGTATTTACACAGGCGCTGCCTTTGTGCAAACACACATTTGCACACCACACATGCACGCACAGGGAGAGATAAAAGTGACTCACTCTCACACACGCATACACACACAGCCTTACCACAAATGTGACAAAACAAATGTATGATAATCACATGAATATTCTCACGTATTGACAGGGACAAACACAGAAAGGGAAAGTGATGGATAGTCAGGATTATCAGTGATGGGTACATGGGAACTGTTTGTTTTCATGTATTTAAAACATACTGAAGTTAGTTAAGGTATTTCTGTTATGTGTTCAAATGTGATTTTTTGATGTTAGATAGCATAAACCAATGATATTCTTTATTCAGTAATATATGAATTATTTTAACAATTATTTGATCAATCATTTAGTCCATAAAATGTCTGAAGATAGACAACAAAGCTTATACAAATTATTAAAATCTAAAGATATTTAGTTTAGGATTTTACTTGCAACCATTACATTTTGAAATCTTTGCATGAAGGTACATTTTTAGCCCATTTACTAACCAATTCATCAATGTATTGTGTAAGACTGTTGCATAATGTAGTGACACAGGAGGGGAAGTGCTGGCTTTTAAATACATCATCTGGGAAATACACTTATTCACCTTTTTTCTGAGAGTTAGATAAGAAGATCACTAAAACTCTCATAACTGTTTGTTTAGTATGAAGCTTAAGCCAGGAGACAGTAAGCTTAGTTTAGCATAACATCTGGAAACAGGCTGAGAGAGCTATAGTAGACTGTCTGTCGGAATATATATGTTTTTTATTATTAGCGGCACATTATAGTGGGAATGTTGAATCTGTTCAAAAAATAAAATCGTGGTTGCAAGCTGTTTCTAGTCTTTGTGCTAATTGAAGCTAACATAGCTTCATAACATATATTTAGATGGTTTATCTTTGACTAGAAGAAAGAGATCAATCTATGTAGAACGTTTTAAAAGTGTATCTTGCTTTTTTTCACCTAGTTACATTCTTTTTTTTAATTCATGCATATTTGCCTAATCACTACCCCCTCAAATGGAAATATGTGTTCACGGACGGTGTGTGTGTGTGTCTACAGAAGGTCCAGTTGTGATAGACACGGTTCACCACTGGTTTACATGGTGACCAAACCGTTTGAGACCCACTGAGAACTTAGACTAAGTTAACTTTCTAAACACTCAGAGTCCTTAACACATAACACAAAAACTTTTTAAAAAAAACGAAATGGGTCGCGAAATATACTTGGGCGGCCGTTAATATACCTGGGCGGCCCGTCCAAGTAAAGTCAATAGCCGCGTTCACACCGCAGTATTTTTCCACTTTAGTTCCGATATAGTTCCGCAATGTCGCGTTCACACCAAAAAGAGCCGGTAACTAAAATGAGTTCATCTGAACCTGTCAGTGCAGCCTTTACATGTTCATAATTTAACTGTAATGTGTATTTTCTAAGTGTACTAATTATTATTGTTGTAATGTTTCATGCGTGCAATATTTTGTCTTTTATTTTGAAGTCCAAGCTCACATCTCGTTATGCTGTTCTCGCGTGAGTTAGAGAGCGAGAACATGAGAAGCAACCTCAGAGTAAGATGCACGGATACTTACAGCTCCGTTAGTTTTGTATTCTTATACATATAAGTTGTGAAGAGAACTGAAGAATACTTCCCTCTGTTTACAGAGCATGCAGCCCAACGAGGTATGTTGTTGTGCGTGTATCACTTTTATTTTTATTACCTTGCTAGTTATCTACGGAGAGAAAAATAAATAAAACGTGGCCACGTTTTACTTTCTCGTGCGCACGCTTTAGTAACTCGTGCGCACGAGTTACTAAAGCGTGCGCACGAGTTACTAAAGCGTGCGCACAAGTTACTAAAGCGTGCGCACGAGTTAATAAAGCGTGCGCACGAGTTACTAAAGCGTGCGCACGAGTTAATAAAGCATGGCCTCGTTTTGTGTGTGTGTGTGTGTGTGTGTGTGTGGAGGGGGCATTTGTTTATGATAGTATTGTTCGTTCCGGTGCACTCCGGCAGGACTATAGCACATCGAGATTAAGATTAAACACATTTCTTTCACTTGGGAATACACTTAACTATGGGGAACCAGATTTGTTTAAAGTACTGTTCGTGGTAATTTGAAAACAAATGCCGGTGGTGTCGGATACACACGAACACGCACACAGAGCGGAGCTGAGCACACACACACACACACATCATGCGCCCCGGTGACAGGACATCTCCTTCATAAAACGAGGGGGAATACTCTGGTAGTTCGATGTGTGTATAGGTGTGTGTAGGTTAAACGTAGCAGCCTCGATCTCTATTCAGCGGTTCTAATGAAGGGAAACGCAGTGAAGTAAACAGTAAAAGGCACAGCTCTTTGCAGCTGGTGCTGCTCTTCTCAGATTCTGCTGAGTTACACGTTACTGCCTCCAGTGCCCTGTACGACGAAGCCAGTTCAACAGACCCTGGACCTGAATATGTTCGATTTACCCGGCTTAACTGACCCTAACAAACGCGATGTCGATAAGCGGTCCTACGAAGCTGGTTATCAACTCAGTAAATCAACCAGGGTTTCTCTGTCCGGCTGAGAGCGCGCTCAGGTGAAAGGGACGGGGTTAGCAACATTTGACCAATCACAAACATGGAGACGCGTTCTGACAGCGCAGCGTCATACTTCATGAATGAATAGTGTAAATAGCCAATCCTGCTTCGTAGTACAGGTCACTGGTGCCGCTGAGATTTCATAAAGTGAAGGAGGTTTTCCTTCTATAAAACAGCTGTGGGCAGCAGATACTGTGAGTCACGGACAGGAATCCCTCAATTTAAATAAAACGAGGCCACACTTTATTAACTCGTGCGCACGCTTTAGTAACTCGTGCGCACGAGTTACTAAAGCGTGCGCACGAGAAAGTAAAACGTGGCCACGTTTTATTTATTTTTCTCTCTATGAACCCTCCAGGGCTCCGTAGTTATCTCACATGCTGTGCATGTTATTGTGTGTCTAACACGAAACTATGTTTGTCATTTATACTGTTTGTTTGTGTAGTTTTCACGGTGGATTCGGAGGAATAAACCCGTTATGAGAAAGCCACTTGTGTCTGCCTGTGCTTCGAGGGAATTACAGAACAATTTGTACCCCCTTTTCCATCCCTGCTAGAGAGCAGGGACTTTCGTGGGAGAAAAAGGTTCCCATTTCTGATTGGCTGGGCGGAATGCAAACCACGCCCCGTAAAACTCCCAAAACGTTTTGTGAAGCCGCCATTTTATTATCCTCGCATTAGCATTATTAGCATTAGCATTAGCCCAGCGCACAAATGCAGAGAGACTAACTTATGGCAACACAAAATAAAACATGGGAGTGGTGGAGATGAGGAGGTGTCGGCGTTCTGGCGATTTACTCGGAAGGCTTCAGTAGAAGCTGCTGGGAGTCCCAGCAGCTTCTACTGAAGCCAGTCCCCAACTCCGGGGACTTCGGGTGGCAGTATACGCCGTGAAGTTGTTTGCGGCCTGCCAGTAAACCCAAAGCAGAAGAAGAAGAAGAAGTGACGTCAGCGGCTTCATTTGCCTAATCCTCCCCAGGAATTTATTCCGGTGTGAACGCGATCTGTACTTAGTTCATGAGAACTAAAGAGTTCTCATGAAAAAAATATAGAATTTTGGTCGATTGCTGAAAAAACACAAAGAGATGAAAGCTAAAGAAAGCTGGCAGTGAGTTAACGATGGGTATGTGCCATGTTGTCGGAACTAAAGCATCTTTGGGAGATTTCTAAAGCATATTATTAAACCTTTTTTAGAAACAAAATGGGGCCTTTGCAAGGAATTGCATCCTAATGGGAGCAATGGCGCTGTAATTATCAAGCAATTAAGTGGGGAAGGAGATGGTGGGGGTGTGAACAGTGAGGCAGCAAGTTCCTCTGATCAATTAGGAAGATATAAACATATGTCTCCCAAAAAAGCTTTTATATCCATCTTTTCTAGATTCATTCAGCACTGTAGAAAATGTTTAGTGACTGTGAGATTCAGACAATTCATAATTAACTGTGGAAAGCAGCTTTGTAGAGATTGAGCTGTTTGTGAGAATGTGCAGGTGAGAGGTTGCTGAAGGACAGAGATGAAGTGTTGCAGCTGAATATATCAGTGAGAGCGTGCACGGTGGTTCACACCTGGCCAGGCACCACTGCTCTGGAGAACAGCTTGTTCAGCTGGACGAGTTCGTTGGGTGTGGTGTCAAACTTGAGCGAAATGCTGTTCAACGTGTCCTGCGATTCCACCTGGACCACAAAACAAGAGAGAGGACAACAAAATCACACTCCACATTCTGTACAGGGCATTTTTCCATGAAGCTACATAGAGAAGACTTGAAGACATGACACATATAATGAGAGAAAGAGAGAGAAAAGCTGTGCAATTACTACCTCAATATTTAGATTTTGGGATGTTATGCAAATTAAAGTTGTCAGCTGTTGACCAGGAATAGATTCCCAGCTGATGTTGCTGGCAGAAATATGAACTGACGTGAATGTCAGCAGCAGTCTTGTGTTATCTTGGAAAACTCATAGCTGCACCCAGCTTTTTGTCAATTTAAAACAAGAACGGCTAAAGTATAAAGCCTAAGGCAACAATACAATTTTTTATTAATTCCCCAATTATTATTTTTGAATGATTTGAATGACGGTTAATGCTATAAAGCAACAGATAATTGTGCAAAAAGCCCTTCAAAGTTTTCTACGAAAAGGTGGAAGTGGTCTTCAAATTATTACAGGCAATTTGTTAGCATAACTAGCTAATTAGCTTACTAGCTAGAGTAGTAACCAAGCGTTCTTTTCAAGGCCGAGGAGCATTCCATCCTACTTTTTTTGTGGGTTTGAAAGTCATTCAAAACAATTATTTCTCATGACTATAGCACAGGTGTGTCCAAACTACCGCCCGGGGGCCAAGTGCGGCCCATTTTGAATCGGCTCAAAAAGTATAATGGAATATGGCCCACAAATGAAAGCTATGCTTGTCTTATATTGTACTACTTAACTATAAATGTAAAAATATATTACACAGTAGGACTAATGTGTTAATAAGACCACTTTTCAAATAAATTCAGTCAATTACATTTGGAAACATTTTCTAATATATCTTAGTTGATGAGAAAAAAGCCCTATTTCTCCTTATTATAATCAATCGGAGGCTTCTGTTTCAAGGGATGAGCTGCCAACACTCACAAGCATCATTTACCTACCTTTGATTGATTTAGCTAATTTACTGTATAACTGAACTTATGAGGCGATATACCTCTAGTGAGTGGCCCAGCCCTTCGTATATTTTTCTGTATATGGCCCTTGGTGAAAAAGGTTTGGACACCCCTGCTATAGCATATCCCTGTGGTATTTGCCCACTGTGTGGTAGCCGATCCTGGATGTAACTACATTGGATTATAGGCTAACGTTAGCAGCTCTGACCTACTCAATATTGTTGTTAGTCTTTATCCTGTTAATTCTTTTTAGTGAAAGATGCTGTTTTTAAAATATAAAAGAGGCATATCTATGTAACCAGAGTCCTATATTTCTTAGTTTTTATCCTGTTCACCTATATTAACCCTCCCATTGGGTTCAGATCAAATTTGACCCAATTCCAAATTAAAATATTCAGAAAACATTGTCAGCTATCAACCAGCTATATAAGAAACAACAATGGTTTTCATTCAATTACATTGACGAAGTTGCTTAAAACTCCGGAACCATCTTCACTGCAGAAACAGGCAGAAGAAAAAGTGGTCTTGATGTTATTTGATGATTCACGTATCATTCAGGGTTCTGTTGTGACGGCATCCTGTGCTCAGCTGCTGCACCCTGCAGTTTTAGGCAGGTGCATTCGCTTGTTTCCACCAGTTAAAATCCATACAACAGAGACGTGCTGCACATGTCTGAACAAGTTAAGCATCTAACATGCCCAGTGGGAGCTTCTACCTTCCAAATAAGGCTGACAACCATGTTTGAAAGAGCCTGCGTATGGGAGAAACATGGTATAGAGTGGAAAGAAATTAGCTCAGGGAGAAAACCTCAGAGAAGCAGACAAGCAGGACTGACTGAGCCGTGTATAATTAGGACAGGGTAATGGCACTGTGTTTTAGTGCAACAGTCATGGGACTGCCTGACTGGTTCTGAGTGTGTGTGTGTGTGTGTGTGCAAAAAGTCCCAGAAAAACACCATGGAATGACAGTTTCTCAAATTTTTTGACATAACAAATTGTTTCCAGGATATTCTTGCACCCAGACCGAGACACATAGAGCAGAGTCACAGACAGGTAGTAGAGTAAAGGAGAACTAGGACAGACACACTGGAACATTGGTAACACTACATGAGGTAGTCACACATGACACGATCCGGATCATAGTCAGGGCAACATCGAGGGGAAGAAGCAGAAAGAACAGAAACTCAGAAGATGTTAGCAGCAGCCAGTGAATGTGTTTACAGTTAATATCACTGACAAGCACTAACTCAAGCTCCAAAATATACCCTTTTTTCCCCCTAGGTTGCAATTGAAAATCCTTGGGAAGTGGAAAATAGGAAGCTATTGCATATTTCACTGTATTACACAGGTTTAAAACAGCATTTCAAGAGACAAAATCCTTTGCAAACTCAAACTAGGAGATGAACTGTGCATGTGCTAGAATTTGGTTTGCAACAGAGCTCTAAGGAATTCATATTTGAAATATAGAAAGTGAATTGATTTAGTAGGAACAACAGAGCCATATGGCATCATCCCTAGAAACTGTGGCTCAGAAAGGCGAGCAAATGTGTTATTTAGCCTGTTAGCTTGAGCATCTTCTGACAATGGAATGATATTAGGGGTGTAACGGTACACGTACCCGTACCAAAATTATTCGGTACGGGCCCTTCGGTTCGGTACAGGTGTGTACCGAAGTGTACCGAACGAATATAACGTTAAACGTAAAAAATTGAGAACGTGAACAACTTTTTGGAAGTAATCTCAGGTGCTGCGTCGCAGCATTCAGAGTAATTTGCTCACATTGGGTTCAACGCGTCATAGAGCGAGCAGGTCATTTCATTGGATGAGAGGCATACTATGAGAGCTGGTCACAGGGATGCGTTCATATGTAGTCAGTAATTTGAGGAACTGTTGAAAATTAATGGCGAACGCAGATAAAGTTGAGCTCGAAAATCCTCCAGCATCATTGAAGTCTCCGGTTTGGGAACATTTTGGTTTTGCAGTTACGTACAAGGATGACGGACAAAGACAGGTGGACCGAACCAAATCTGTTTGTCGGCATTGTTCAACTAACATTGGTTACGCGGCTGGCAATACATCAAACTTGCACACTCTTGAAAAGGCATCACCCGAACGTGAATATCACCGGTACCAAAAGAAAAAAGACTGAAGTGCAAACCCAACTCCCACTAGCATTTAAGCCTCCACCACTCGCAGAGAGTTCAGACCGAGCCAAAGCTATTACAAACGCCAAATATCCTTATGTTGCCATGTTAGCAAAGCGCTACCTGGCTGTATCTGCTACCTCCGTCCCTAGAGAGGGTGTTCTCCACAGCAGGAGACATTATTAGTGCCAGCAGATCTGCCCTTTCAGCAAGCAATGTGGACAAGTTCATCTTTCTTTAAACAACAAAATACAATGACAAGCAAGTCATAATGTCAAACTGGCTGCTTAGGAACTAGTACAGTACAGTTCAAATACAGATTATTTCAGTTCATCGAAATGCTGCACCTTAATGTTCATTTTATTATATTTTGTATTTATTTGAGTGAATATTCAGTTTAATAATAATTAAAAACCCAAAACTAATAGTTTATGTTTTGTGAGTACTAGTACAGTAAAGTTCAAATACAGATTATTTCAGTTCATCGAAATGCTGCACCTTAATGTTTATTTTATTATATTTTGTATTTATTTGAGTGAATACATTATTCACAGTTTAATAATAATAAAAAAAAAATATATATATATGTTTTGTTTTGTGAAAAAAAATTCTGCTGTACCGAAAACGTACCGAACCGAACCGTGACCAAAAAACCGAGGTACGTACCGAACCGAAATGTTTGTGAACCGTTACACCCCTAGATGATATGCAACACATATTTTAAATGGCAGAGAAATAAGTAGTCGAATTTAAATAAAAAATTATATATTTCCATGGTGGTGGTTCCTATCAAGAAGCAAAACCACTAGATATTCAAACTTATGAAAATCTTGCAGTAATCTCTTGTTAACTATTTTAACTGGTAAAACACCAAATGAATGGATTCAGAATCAGGCTTTGGCTGAAGCAAACCAAATACAGGCAACAGGAGGAATCATATGATAAAAAGTTAGCTCATAACAGCTGACAAATCACCATTAAAGATACACTGACTGATTGATTAAAGATCTGGCTTCAAGAGCCCAGTTCTTTAACTTTTGAAGCTGAAATGTCTCCCGATGCTGGTCACTTGCTTGAAGTGCAATCCTCAATTGTTGGGCAATTAAACAAAGTAAGGGGAAGAGTACCTTAAAAGTCCAATATAAAAGTAGTGACGCAATGGAAAACTGTCTATTCAAGAAATCTCAGAGGCTGACAAAATAACTATTGAGTCTTTGTTATTGATCAACAGTCCTGGGCTTATAGTGTGCTAGGTGCTAAACCCAGGCCCAGATAGTGGGTTTGGATGCCCTACCCTCTGGGGGATATGACTAATCAGATCCGAGGTCAGTCATGCTGCTGGGTTACAGTCTCCATGACTTAGCAATGTGAGCAATTTTGTGTTGACAACAATGCACAAGGCAGAGCAGGGATGCGTTGTGCAGTATTGACCGGGTAGGGAGACTGCCGGGATGATTAAGACAGTAGCTTCACTAGCAGAGGTTTCACAGTGAGCAGAACTAGTGCAGGTTGACATTGACTGTTCTAGGCTAGTAACTGGATTAGATGGATGTGACCAAGATGATTGAGGACACAAGGAAAACCTTTTCTTTATCCTTCAAACAAGGGCAATAACGATCCAAGGAGCCGATCACCCGGCACACGTAACAAGCCAACACATTGTGTTTCTATGGTACATATGCTCCTTTCTTGATATCATTTCCTTCAGTTTTCGCATTAAAAAAGGTAAAATATTCTCAAATTTCAGCGCAAAGTCACGCTGCCCAAACCAATTCAATCGAGCAAAAGGCTTCACTGCTTCATCACTCCTTCTTTCAATGCCAGTAGATGTCGTAGGAACAATGGGACAATAGCAAATGCAACTGGTGTAAGAGATGCCATTGATA